TACAACCGCTGGCTTTGTTGTGGAGAAATACATCCAGGCTTTCACTACACAGTATATAGTTTAATGGTTCTTAAAGTCAAAACAAGCTCAGACTTTAAATGCCAGAAATAGCAAGTTTTCATTTTAGAGAAATGAAAGTTACTGGTCAGTTAAAAAGCGGTTCTTGGGAAAAAAATGTAAAAATAAATAAGCTAAAAGTTAAGACCCATTAAACAAAAACGAACAATGCAGATTAGACTGTCACACTTCAGAAAACAGATTGTGCTTGATGAAAATACTGTTCTCATCCCATGACATATATTCCTCCCCAGTCTTTTATTAGGTATGACAAGATACTACGGTACCAATGGTTTTTCCACCATATCTAGATATTGGAAATCACTTTAAAAGTAAGCATACTGACTGATACAACGAAAGGGGGTTTGTGTTGCAGATACTGTAAAATTATTAGTATCTGTTTGTCTATTAGATGTGCTCTCCTGAGGTTTCAGATCTTCAATCATCTGAGTGCTGCAGCATCTGTCAGAAAACTGCCCAATCCCACCTGATATATCTGAGTGATTTTCTACATGCATGCTCTCATCATCCTCCATTCTTCCAGTCATGTGATCTGTGCCAAAGCTGTTCGCTGAAATAAAAAACAAAAAAACACAACACCTTACATAAATATTTGCATTTAAAGAGAACACAACCTTAAATTTTCAGCAACCAACAGTAACCCCAGCCAAAACTTTGTTGGGCAGGGGCAACTTGAAACCCCTATCAAGTTTTAATTGATGTCTATGCTCAAAGATTTCCTGACACTTCATACTGGCGAGAGGAGTGATGAGAAAATATCTTCTATGGGGGACTTTTAGTAAAGTCTGTGATAGAACCTGTGAGGTTTATATTGCTGTCTGTGTTTTCTTGTCTAGAAGACTCTTATTAAGTGTTCTTGCATGGCAAGACCACTTACTGTTATCTCACATATATATTTTTATTATTATAGCCAAATGTACCACCCTAACTCCTCCCACAGTTTTTACACTACATAGACAGTAATATACGGAAACGTGTGGATTGTTCCCGATTGGTGTGCCATTACTTTGTGGAACGTTTCGCCGAATGGTTCACGAAATATCGGCGTTTTTGTGGTGAAATTGGTCCCATAGGAATGAATGGCGGAATGTTCAAAACTAGAGTGGGAGCTGACAAAAGCTAAAGTGTGAGCTGAAAAATCAGGACATGATTTCTAAACTGCCATCACTCCCTCATTTTCAAGCCCACCTACACAAATCTTATATCAAAACGTTCAGCTAACCCTGCTGTCACTAAAAATGTCCACGGCTAAGCCATAGTCCTGATAGTTTTCACAATATGACCATTTGTTTGCAACTCACCCCCCCATTGACATTCATTGAAACTCCACTCTAGCCACCTCAAATTTGAAGGGCAATTTCTAAACTGCGACTGTGCCTTCATTTTTAATATTTCAGAGACATACTATGCACCAAAAATGTAGGTCTGGGTCTTGTGATTCTCACAATAGAAAAAGCTCTTCAGACGGTTGTAGTTTAAAAATTATAAATCCTACACTGAAGATGGCAACCGCCAGTGAAGTGAGCAAGTTGGAGCAGTTTGTTTTTAACCACTCTTCTCTGCCCTTGCTGTAGAGTGAGTAGCCATAGGAACCCAGGTGTGCGAGCAGGCAAGAACACTTCACACAATTTCCCCAGAAATTGTAGCTTTTCTAGTTCTAGTTTGTTCTTGTCCAAGTGTAACAGGATAACGTGGAGGGGGAATTTCACTAATGCAGAAAACAAACTGACCAAAGTTCTAAACCTTCCATGCTGAAGGAGAAAAAAAAAAAAAAAAAAAAAAGGTTTAAAGCTTGAGTTGGGAATGTGATAACCTGAAAGCACACTTATACCTTCTGGCCAAGAAATACTTAGAATTATTCATGAAAATTGTGATTCAAGCTTTTTTTTTCCCTACAGCTGTACAAGCAAATACTCATGATAAAGTCTATTCCCATTGCTATGCTTTTCAGGGTATTTAGATCTGTACAGGGTAGTATTCATACATATTCCCATCTCTCCCTCCACATTTTGTGACATTACAGCCTAGGCGCAAGATAGATTTAACCCTCTGACATGCAAGTCAGTGGGTTAAATCTATTTTAACCCTGACATACACGTAATGGAATGCAAGTAGTTAAAACAAGCGAATGGCTGTAATAGCAGCTGGCGGTTTGCTTTAAAATCCAACAATGCTGTATATCTAAGAGATCTGGGCAGTGTTTAAGCTACCCTATCATCCCTAAGCCCCTCATGGCTCCCCCAAAGCTCACCCTGTGCCTCCAGGAAGCCTAGGACAGTGACATCAAGCAGAGAAGCAGAATAGGATCAGGGAACACACTGCTTTCCCAACTAGCTATGGCAGTAAAAGGAGTGAAAGCCAGGTCTGCACATGATTAAGAGGGAATAGGGCAGTTCTCCATATATAAAATGGCCACAGATTTCCAACAGATATGACCTTGTCATAGGGGAAGTGAGCCGTCAGCAGACAGACAGCTCACGTCCTCTTTGCTTGTGCAGAGATTACACTACACAAGCAGAGCCTGCAGGGTTGACAAACCTTCTCCTTCCTGCTCTGAGCTCACAGCAGAGAGATTGAAGCATTCTTTTACGTTCTTTGGCTCATGCCCCTTTTGTTAGGAGCAGTCTGTTCCATTTTGCTAGGTTTAGAGGATTCAAGCATGGTGCTTGCATTGTTCTGAATTCCTCCCAAACAGTACCCACAAGTACAGTATGCCAATGTGCTCTGAACTGTCCTGTCAGTACACCTTATTTCTCTGATGACTGGAAGCTACTGCAGAAAACATGGCATGCTAGCTGAAAAGTGAAACATCATTCTAAAAAAAAAAAAAAAAAAAAAAAATATATAAAAATATTACCATAAAGACATGAGGGTTACAATCATTCAGGAGATGAATGAATGTACGCCCAGAGAAACCAAATGACATCTACACTCACCGGCCACTTTATTATGTATACCTTGCTAGTACCGGGGTGGACCCCCTTTTGCCTTCAGAACTGCCTTAATTCTTTGTGGCATAGATTCAACAAGGTGTTGGAAACATTCCTCAGATTTTGGTCCATACTGACATGATAGCATCACGCAGTTCCTGCAGATTTGTCGGCTACACATCCATAAACAGTTAACGCAAGGCAGGATGGATCCATGCTGTCATGTTTATGCCAAATTCTGACCCTACCTCCTGAATGTTGCAGCTGAAATCGACTCATCAGGCCAGGCAACGTTTTTCCAATTTCGGCGAGCCTTTGCGAATTGACGCTTCCCGTTCTTAGCTGACAGGAGTGGCACCCAGTGTGGTCTTCTACTGCTGTAGCCCATCTGCTTTAAGGTTCGACGTGTTGTGCATTCAGAGATTGTATTCTGCATACCTTGCTTATAACGAGTGGTTATTTGAGTTACTGTTGTCTATCTATCATCTTCAACTAGTCTGCCCATTCTCTTTTGACCTCAACAAGGCATTTTTGTCCACACAACTGCTGCTCACTGGATCAGGGGTGTAGAATTTTTTTTAAAAAACTACTTGACCAAGGACTAAATCTGGCTCCCAGTCTACTTATCCCGCATGACAATCTACTTGACAAGATGAAAAACAGTATTTAAATCTGAGGTGCTGTTAGGAATGTCTGGGACTTTTAAAATAAAATAAAAAAAAAAAAAAAAAGCTCTACGGCAACTTAAATGTTTAATTTTTTTTTTTTAACATTGCGCTGTATATCTCCTCCTCCCCTCCCTGCCTCTCTCTAGCACATCTCCCGGGGACTAGCACAGAGGAGAGAGACCTTGCAGTGTAAGGAGCATTGATTGGGTGGTGGTCAGGAAAGGGGAGTGTCAAGCTTATCCTTTATCCCTTTTGCTGCCAGAGCCGTTTTTTGCACACGTTTAAAAAATTATTTTAGGCTTGAAGATTACACAAAACCCCCAAACATTATATATTTTCTGAAGGCAAAGACTCTAGAGAATAAAATAGGGGTAGTTCCAATTCTTTGTCACACGATATTACCGCAAAGGTCTAGGAAACGCAAAATTTCAGTAAAAAATAAACTTAAAAGTAATTTTAGGGCACAAAAAGCAATAGAAATTATCCTATGTTTTGGTAAAATATAAAAAGATGAGGTTCCACCGAGTAAATAGATATCCAACATGTCAAACCTTAAAATTTGCATGCGCTCGTGAAATGGCGACAAACTTTAGTACCCTATATTTTTTATAGACTTACAGAAGAGGTGTTAGTAGGTGCTAGTTATTGCTTCCATTCTGGCGTGTGCGGCGATATGCAACATGTGTATTGCAATGAACATTTTGGTGGGTGTGCGTGTCTCAAATTAATTCAAATCACCACCATGGTGGACTGTGTGAAAGTAAATTGGGCGGCAACTTTCACCTGACAGGTGAGCCCTGCTGCTTGCCCACAGCAGGGCTAAAGGTTGAAAAAAAAAAAAAAGCTACCTGCTCGACACCCAGAACTACATGCAAATTCAACATCCCTGTGGATAGAATTTCTTTTTTGGACTGTTCTCTGTAAACCCTAGAGAAATATCAGTAAATCATCAGTTTCTGAAATAGTCAGACCAGCCCGTCTGGCACCGACAACCATTCCATGTTCAAAGTCACTTAAATCCCCTTTCTTTCCCATTTTGATGCTCTGTTTAAACTTCAGCAAGTCAACTTCACCACGTCTAGATGCTTAAATGCACGGAGTTGCTGCCATGTGATTAGCATATTGGGTTAACAAGCAATTGAACAGGTGTACCTAATAGTGGCTGGTGAGTGTAAGTCAGTACAGCTCAGCGAGCATGAAGATCATAGCCTTTAAACCTAATAAAGGCTACCCTTAGGGAAAATATAAGTAATTAAAACTGCTCACAATGACTTTAGCATTTAGATATGGAATAGTTTTCTCCATGGTACAGTGTACAAACATATCACTCACCTTCAGTTCTCAGCTTCTTAACAACAGATACCTCCAAATCATGAAATGACCTCTTACGATTGTTTATTCCTCCATTAAGGTGATTTGATGCATTCTGTGGAACTCCATTTAAGGAGTTTGTGCAATAGAAACCGTTGAGCTGACTGTTCTGGAGGTTAAGAAGGAATTGAGCACACTCTGTAAAGCCCTGGGAGTGTGCAAGGTCAGCCGCTGTCAAGCCACTGGCATTCTTAAAGCTGTGTAACAAAGAACTGAATTAGATACACCATATTGTAAAGAGAAAGCCCTCAGTTCTCTAACTATCTGAAGGCTAAGCATTCAAACAAACTCGCTACAAAGTCCTGCAAATTTCTTTGCTTCAAGAGAGGTCTTTTACGGTATGTATGAAGGCCTTCCCAGCAGTAAAGAAGGGCGTTGTTTTAAAATACAAATTTCTACTGTCATTAACAATCCTAACTTTTACAGAAAACTTACACATTGTACTTGATTAAAAATATCTAAGTTTCTAATCACCTATTAATTTTACAGAAAAATACAGTCAGGTCCATAAATATTGGGACATCGACACAATTCTAACATTTTTGGCTCTATACACCACCACAATGGATTTGAAATGAAACGAACAAGATGTGCTTTAACTGCAGACTGTCAGCTTTAATTTGAGGGTATTTACATCCAAATCAGGTGAACGGTGTAGGCATTACAACAAGTTGCATATGCACCTCCCACTTGTTAAGGGACCAAAAGTAATGGGACAGAATAATAATCATAAATCAAACTTTCACTTTTTAATACTTGGTTGCAAATCCTTTGCAATCAATTACAGCCTGAAGTCTGGAACGCATAGACATCACCAGACGCTGGGTTTCATCCCTGGTGATGCTCTGCCAGACCTCTACTGCAACTGTCTTCAGTTCCTGCTTGTTCTTGGGGCATTTGCCTTCAGCAAGTGAAATGCATGCTCAATCGGATTCAGGTCAGGTGATTGACTTAGCCATTGCATAACATTCCACTTCTTTCTCTTAAACTCTTTGGTTGCTTTTGCAGTATGCTTTGGGTCATTGTCCATCTGCACTGTGAAGTGGCGTCCAATGAGTTCTGAAGCAGTTGGCTGAATATGAGCAGATAATATTGCCCGAAACACTTCAGAATTCATCCTGCTGCTTTTGTCAGCAGTCACATCATCAATAAATACAAGGGAACCAGTTCCATTGGCAGCCATACATGCCCACGCCATGACACTACCACCACCATGCTTCACTGATGAGGTGGTATGCTTAGGATCATGAGCAGTTCCTTTCCTTCTCCATACTCTTCTCTTCCCATCACTCTGGTACAAGTTGATCTTGGTCTCATCTGTCCATAGGATGTTGTTCCAGAACTGTGAAGGCTTTTTTAGATGTCGTTTGGCAAACTCTGATCTGGCCTTCCTGGTTTTGAGGCTCACCAATGGTTTACATCTTGTCGTGAACCCTCTGTATTCACTCTGGTGAAGTCTTCTCTTGATTGTTGACTTTGACACACATACACCTACCTCCTGGAGAGTGTTCTTGATCTGGCCAACTGTTGTGAAGGGTGTTTTCTTCACCAGGAAAAGAATTCTTCGGTCATCCACCACAGTTGTTTTCTGTGGTCTTCCGGGTCTTTTGGTGTTGCTGAGCTCACCGATGCGTTCCTTCTTTTTAAGAATGTTCCAAACAGTTGTTTTGGCCACGCCCAATGTTTTTGCTATCTCTGATGGGTTTGTTTTGTTTTTTCATCCGAATGATGGCTTGAGTCACTGATAGTGACAGCTCTTTGGATCTCATCTTGAGAGTTGACAGCAACAGATTCCAAATGCAAATAGCACACTTGAAATGAACTCTGGACCTTTATCTGCTCATTGTAATTGGGATAATGAGGAAATAACACACACCTGGCCATGGAACAGCTGAGAAGCCAATTGTCCCATTACTTTTGGGCCCTTAACATGTGGGAGGCACATATGCAAACGGTTGTAATTCCTACACTGTTCACCTGAATTAGATGTAAATACCCTCAAATTAAAGCTGACAGGCTGCAGTTAAAGCACATCTTGTTAGTTTCATTTCAAATCCATTGTGATTGTGTATAGACCCAAAAAGGTTAGAATTGTGTCGATGCCCCAATATTTATGGACCTGACTGTATCTAAGATTGCTTGAAGTTCCTAATTTTACATTGAACTCCAGAGCTGCAATTCAAGTGCTACAATACTCTGGCTACAACTTAAAATAAATGATACAAGAAAAAAAAAAAAAAAAAAAAAAAAATCGAAAAAAACTTTATGCATATTTATAGATTGTCTGTGGCATTTTCATGTATCAACTTAGGTACTCTAAAAACATTCTATAGAAGTAGATAAAAAGGGAATTTGTCCTAGTTAGTTCCACAAAGTGCAAATCCCACTGGCTGAAAACTCCCAATTGTGAAATGGCATCAAGAGGATGGAGATCAGGATATTGTGGGTATTTAGTGATCAGACTGCAAGAATAGCAGTTTAGAGAATATATATAAAAAAAAATACAAAAAAGGTATAAATAAAATACAGCAAAAGCTGGCAAAGATTAAGCCAAACGAGAAGAGCAAGAGTGTGTGTTGGTATAGGCTCTCCTTTTTCTAGGGATTAAAAGAAAAAAAAGTGAATGTGCGACTTCACTAATCTGACAACACAAAACAGTGATCTAAAGCACCAAATGTACGCAATACATTCAAAACAGAATAAGTGCTAGTTGAGTCTCTCGTAACCATTGATGATAGCGGTTACAAATTAAGTTGTGTAGGCCCTGGCTATTTTTTAAGCCTCCTTTTACAGATTGGCAAAAACTAAGAGCTTTACTACTGCTGATTGAATTCTATTGATTGTAAATTTCAGTGGAGAATCAAGCAATAAATGGAGTTTGCAGCACAAAAAAAAAGGCAAAGACATCTCATGTAGCAATTTACGTGGCTTTCAGAAATGTGTGCAACAACTCCATTAATCATCTTCCATGTCCATTTTCCATGAAAAGGTTTCCAAACATTTAGCAACTTTGGTCTTTTTCAGCCTTACTTGCAATACAAGTAACATAAGGAAAAAAGAATCAGCAGATAGCTCAGAGTGTACTGAATACTTCCAGTGCATTTATACTATGAAGTAGTAAGGAATCTTCCTTGAAATGAACAAAAGCAGCCTACAATCCAAAATCTCAAAAGAAATGGATACATCTTCTACTGGTCTGGGAGACAAGTTGGAGGAAAGCTGCTGATGATACACAGCAATTCTGATGTAGATATTTCTCAACTTCGTGAAAGTGTATAAGCATTAGGTCTCCATTTAAAAAATTAGTTGTATGCAAAGCCAGAGCTGTGAAATAGCCAAAGAAACAAGGAAACAGAGAATCCAGCTGTGTTTACCTCAGTTCACATCTAGGTCTTGTCACAAAAGGGAAGCTACTGAACTGGTTATCAATTGCTTATAGATTAAAAACAAAACACTTGCAGGGTTTTTCGGGACTGGAAGCCATAAGCAATATGATTTCACTGCTTAAAGTGGAACTAAAAAATACCTCAAATCAGCATTAACAATTTTTATTCTCATGTTGCAAGCATTTATAAATTTAAAAGAAAAAGGAAGGTGTATATACAGATAGGTCCATATATATTTGGACACAGGTACAATTTTAGATTTTTTTCAGGTATTTACCAAAACATATCAAGCTATAGTTATATAATGGAAATGGGCTGAAAGTGCACACTCTCAGGTTTAATTTTAGGGTATGTACATCAAAATTAGAGGAAATGTTTAGGAATTACAGCTCTTAAAGGAGTAGCTATTCCCCCTTTTTCAAGGGACGAAAAATAATTGGACAAATGATTATAATCATAAATATTTTGTTGAGAATCCTTTACTGGCAATGACTGCCTGAAGTCTGGAACCCAAGGACATTACCACAGTTTGGGTTTCCTCCCTTCTGATGCTTTGCCATGCTCTAACTGCAGTTGTCTTCAGTTCTTTGTTTGTGGGTCTTTCTACCTTTAGTTTTGCCTTCAGCAAGTGAAATGCATGCTCAATTGGGTTGAGATCAAGTGATTGACTTGGCCATTGAAGAATATGCCACTTTTCCTTCAAAAGCTCCTGGGTTGTTTTTGCAGTGTATTTTGGATCGTTGTCCATCTGTACTGTGATGCGCCATCCAATCAACTTTCCTGCATTTGGCTGAATCTGGGCTGACAGTATCTCTCTAAACACTACAAAATTGATCCAGCGGCTTCTGTCGCATCATCAATAAACACCAATGACACAGTGCCACTGGAAGCCATGCATGCCCATGCCATCAAACTGCCTCCATCATGTTTTACAGAAGATGTTGTGTTTTCTCTATTATGAGCTGTTCCAAGTCTTCTCCACACACTTTTTTCTTCCCGTCATTCTGGTACAGATTAATCTTAGTTTCATCCGTCCAGAGAATGCTTTTCCAGAACTGGTCTGGCTTTTTTTTTTTTTTTTAGATTTTTTTGGCAAAGTCTAATCTGGCTTTTCTATTCTTCAGGCTTATGAATGGTTTGCACCTTGTATTTGCACTCATGAAGTCTTCTCTTGATTGTAGACTTTGACAATGATAAGCCAAGCTCCTGGAGAGTGTCCTTTACTTGTCTGGATGTTGTGAATGGGTTTTTATTTACCATAAGAGGATCCTGCGATCATCCACCACTGTTTTTCTGAGCTCACCAGTGCGTTCTTTCCTCAGAATGTACCAAACTGTTGATTTGGCCACTCCTAATGTTGCTGCTATCTCTCTGATGGATTTGTTTCGTTTTTGAAGCCTTACAAATGGCCTGTTTCACTTGCATAGGCAGCTCCTTTGAACACATGATGTAGGTTCACAGCAATAGATTCCAAATGCAAATACCCCACTTAGAAGCAACTCCAGACCTTTTACTTGCTTAATTGATGAAGAAATAACGAAGGAGTAGCCCACACCTGGCCATGAAACAGCTTTTGATTCAATTGTCCAATTACTTTTGGTCCCTTGAAAAAGGGGGGATGGCTACTCTTAAGAACAGTAATTCCTAAACCCTTCCTCCAATTTGGATGTACATACCCTCAAATTAAATCTGAGTGCGTGCACTTTCAGCCCATATCCAATATATATATAACTATAGCTTGAATGTTTTCTTCAAAGAAATTTCTCAAGCATGGAGACATGAATGGATGGGGGATTTGCACTGAATATTAA